CTTATTTTATACAATAATTGTTTATTTTATGTTGAAAGTTTTTAATTTTTATCGAGTCAGTGGATTTATCCAGTAAAACACACTTATCGAGTAACGAAGACAAAAAGATATATTTCTACAAAAAGTTAATATACAATTCTTTCATACAATTTTAATTCTTCGCAAGCTAAGATTTCTCCTATCACCTTTACTAAAAGCGCTCACAGACGTTAGAAGACGTCCTTCACGTCACCGCGAATATAAACGCTACACGTCAGTGTATACACATGCACTCTATTTCCTTGAAAAGGTAAAACTTTCAGCGCTTTATTTAAAAATAAGGTTACTAAATTCAACATCTCTTTTTAATCTTATTTTCTTCTTAAAAAAAAATAACTAAATAAATCAACATTAAAGAAATTGAATATGTAAATTTACATATAGTGATATAATCTTACTGTACTAACATGTCTCTGAACTTTTTAAATTTAATTGCTCCTAATTGCTCCTTTGTAAAAATGTCTGCTATCTGATCGTTGGTGTTACAGTACACAATATTTATATTGTTTTCCTGAACCTTTTCGCTTATGAAATGGAATCGCACATCTGTATATTTTGATCTTCTATTAAATATTTCTGTTTTAATAAGTCTGATTGCACTTTGATTATCTATATACATTTCAATATTTACAGTTTTGTTTAAGAGTGCCTCTAAAACGCCTTTTAAGTATAATAACTCTTTACAGTTAGTAGCTGAAATAAATTCTGCCTCTGTACTCGACAATGCAACGATAGGTTGCTTTCTCGATGCCCAGCTTATCGATCCTCCGCAAAATTCTATGACATATCCTGATGTGCTTTTTCTGCTTTCTACATCTCCTGCATAATCTGCATCGCAATAACCTTTAAGTATCTCTATACTTTCTTTATTATTATACGCTATTCCTAAATGTTTAGTTCCCTGTAAATATTCTTAAAATTCTCTTAACATTAATTACATCTACATTAGAAGGTTTTTGAGTATTTCTACTATTATATGTTACCGCAAAACTTAGATCTAGTCTTGTTTTAACGGTGAGATAGAGAAGGCTTCCTACCGCTTTTCTGAAAGGGAAAGATTCCGTCCTGTTACCTCCGTCGTTAGACTCAATGTTAGTTAGGATGGATGTATCGACTGCCTTTACATTGTTCATGCCATATATTTTCAGAACTTTTTACACGAGGTATATTCTATGTATATACAGGCAGCGATCTCGTTCGAATATACATTCTATGTATATCTATAAGATATCTTATGTATATCCACAAATGTATCTACATCAGCGTATATCATATGTATGTACATAGTATATACATACAGTACATTTTTTTCACATTATGGATATTTCATGTATATACATAGGATATCGAATGTTTACTGAGTACATAGGACGTACATAGAATGTCCTAATGTTTATTGGGTATAGCATTAAGAAGGCTTAATTAATCTGGAGTAACGGTGAATAATACAGCAGTACATATTTGACTAAATCACACTTATATTATGTAAATTTAAAAATAAAACAAAACATGGAGCTGTAGCCAGCTTTTCAATCATACGGCGGTATCGATTTTATATTACTACAACGTAAAACGCGCTGACAATTTTTCAATCCAACCGGTTTATATATAAACCGGTTTATAACTGAACTATTTATATTAATACAGAATTATTTGACATTGTGTATGACACAAGGTTTTATCCACTCTACGTTCAGACACTTTCTGCTTTTTATCTTGTTAACAACTGCTGCTAACAATTCAAAATCTCTCGCAAAGATGGACGACAAACATAATCCAGAATTGAATGTGATGGAACTCATTAAGAAGTACTACTTACCGATTTTCTTGTGTCTTTCTTTGCTGGGCAACAGTCTATCCGTGTGTGTGCTCTTTTGCACAAAACTACGTTACAAGTCATCCAGCATCTACTTGGGTGCACTTGCGATGAGCGACACTGGAATGTTGGTGATAACATTCATACAGTGGTTTGTGGTCATGAAAATTATAACTGTGGACTATTGGTTGCTAGTCCTATTGAATGGTTCGATTTATTTATTTTCTTTTCTGAGTGTGTGGATAGTAGTGGTCTTTACAGTTCAACGATATATAGTAGTCCAGTGGCCGCTACTTTGTTGCTCCTTGTGCACAGTTACTCGAGCGAAAAACATAGTAATTGGACTAGCGGGATTAGCAGTTTTACTCTCTATCCCAGTGTTTATTTTACTATACATAATTTACACAAATTCAGATGCAGATGAGGAAGAAATGTTTCACTGGTCAAAGATTTCTTATTTCAATGATACTATTATCAATGATACTATTATAACGACTTACTTACCTGCAACAATCCCATCGTTTATTATGCTAAACATAAGTTACACAATTTTGTATGTAGATGAGAACTTAATGTACTGGTGGTGGATTTTAAGTATCATTGATGCTATTATAACGTGTTTCTTACCTGCAACAACGATAGTGATTTTTAATGTTCTAATAGTATACAACATTCGCAAGCAAAATCGTATCCGAAAAGACATGATTTCAAGTTTCTTTGCTTCCAATAAGAACACACAAAGTTCTGACAATGAAGCGTCCCACATTGAAGTCACAAAAATGCTTGTTATCATTTCAACGTTATTCATATGTTTGAATGTACCTACATACGTCGTTGATCTTTGTGACTACTATGGCGTACGTATTAACATTTATTGTTAAAGAAAAACCAACTATTAAATACAAGATTTCTTTAAAAATGCATTTTACATATTATAAAAGGTTAATAAATTTCTTTTAATTCAAGTTTTTTCTACTATTCTTAACATTTTACTAAATATAATGAAAATTAATACAAAAACTGTATTATTCTTTACAATTTTTCGATAATAGTTAATTGTAACGATACTAATCATTTACAGATCTGTGGTACATATTGTGTCATAATTGAGTACATCGTCGAATTATTATGGCTAGCAAATTGTGGAATAAACGTTGTTTTGTATTGTGCAACTGGGAAGAATTTTCGCAAAGAATTGATCCGCATGTTTACGAAATTCAGATACTAGAAGAAATGAAAATATGGAGATGGAAAATTTCAATGATTAGTGCGATTATTACTCAATCATGCAATTATAAGGTAATATAATAACAAAACACTTCAAAAAAGGTAATATATAAGGTAATATAATAACAAAGCGACTTCAAAAAATCTAATTAAAATATATATATTACATATTATATATATTATATATTATGTTATATTATATATTAGAAAAAAATTTTGAAATATTATCTAATTATTTACTATTTAATTAAATACATAGTTTCTTTACTAAAAATGTATTCTCTGTAAGCAATATTCTACATATTAAAAAAGAATATTAATTAACTTTTCTCTAAAACTGAATTTTGCTTTAAAAATTTTTAATGTTTAATCGTTACATTTGCTAACAATAAGATAAATGATACAATAGTCGAACACATTTACATACATGACTACATAATAAAAAAAAGTAATTATAATTATTTATAAATATTAAACTCTTAAACGATACTAAAAAAAAAAAATATAACTGTACTTGTCAAATAGTTGGTTACTAACATTTGCTTTATTATATTATACAATATTTTTATGCTGCTGTTAGAAGTTAGAAGTTAGAAGTTAGAAGTTTGTATATGAACAAAATGCATGCCAAAATAATACGCATTACTGTTAAGACAACATAAATTTAATTGATATAAAAACCGTATTAATATTTATGTTTCTCTAATTATGATATATAACGGTAATAATCATGTTTGCAGATAATTTATGATTCAATTCCATAACTTACTGTATTCGTCAGTAGTTGCATTTAGACAGCAAATTTTGCAATAAATTTTGTTGTTTATTATACAACTTGAAAGAAATTTCGCAAACAATTAATCCAGATGTTTACGAAATATTCGGACATTAGCAGAAACGTAAAGACATCAAAGAGATTATAAAAATAAAAGATTATAACGAGTGGTGTGATTAATACTATCATGCAATTACAATTGTGATAAAATACGACGGTAGAATTATCGTATTATATTTAACTTTTCAAAACAATGTTTACATATAGCATTTACATTAAGTAATAAATGTGTTACATGTATATATATTTTTGTTATTTAAATTTATAGAATAAATTCTTATTTTACTTTATAATTTTTAACTTGATGCTTTAGGAATTATATATTACACAATTAAAACAGAGATTAATTAAAGTTTTTTTAAATTAAAAATATATGTTGACATTGCAGTTAACGTTGTTTAAATAAAAAATCTAAATAAAATTGTCTTCTTAAAATATTTAATCATCAACTTTTGTTACCACGCAACATATTATATGTGTCACTCATCGGTTTTTATGAGAGCCCGATGTTAGCCACATGAGTGACAGCAAGAATTTTTAATTTATATCTAAATTATAATTTTTAATAATACAAATAAAGTCTGCTTTAAACCACTAGACAAGCTTAAAAATAGTACAGTGTATAACAGACGTTTGATCTAAAATGATATAATGTCTCCAAATCTTAGTAACTATAGCATTAAGAAGGCTTAATTAATCTGGAGTAACGGTGAATAATACAGTAGTACATATTTGACTAAATCACACTTATATTATATAAAATTAAAAATAAAACAAAACACGGGGTTGTAGCCAGTTTTCCAATCATACGGCGGTATCGATTTTATATTACTTCAACGTAAAATGCGCTGACAATTTTTCACTCGAACCGGTTTACATAAACCGGTTTATAATTAAACTGTTTACATTAACACAGAATTGTTTGACATTGTGTATGACACAAGGTTTTATCCACTCTACGTTCAGACACTTTCTGTTTTTTATCTCGTTAACAACCGAAGTAACAGATTCAAAATCAATACGCAAGGATAAGCGACGAATATAATCCAGCATTAAATGTGATTGGGCACATTAATAAGTACTACGTACCGATTTTTCTGTGTCTTTCTTTGCTGGGCAACAGTCTATCCATGTATGTGCTCTTACGCACAAAACTACACACAGAAAAATATCATTCTATTGCTAAGAAAAGTAATTACTCGGCTTACTTTTCCTTTTTTAAGTAACAATTATCTTTAATAAAGAATATTTTCTTGATAATAGTCTTAAAATATATATACTCATCACAAATTTTTGATAAACTCATTATCATATACTCAAAAGAAGTAATTAGTTTTTGGTGAAGAATATTATAAAATTGTATCGAAGAAAAGTCAGATTTGGTTAATTTAATAAGCAAATAGAATTCTTTTTTTAATTTAATATTCTTGATTGAAGTATTAAACTTACTGGGATCAAAATATATTTTGAATAAATTTGATGCTTATGATAAACTTACGATAGATTTGCGGATATATGAACTTATAAAATACTTAAAACAAGTAATATTTACTTAAATACAGTATGTATTTTTCTGTGTGTACGTTACAACTTATCCAGTATCTACTTGGGTGCACTTGCGATGAGCGACATTGGTGTGTTGGTGATGGTATTCGTGAGGTGGTTTAGACAGATGGAACTTATAACTCAGGAATGTTGGTTGCTAATTCTATGGTTTAATTTGCAATATTTATTTTGTTTTCTGAGTGTGTGGATTGTAGTGATTTTTACAGTTCAACGATATATAGTGATCAAGTGGCCGCTACTTCGTCGCTCTTTATGCACAGTTAAACGAGCGATAATCATATTGACTGGACTGGCGGGATTAGCAGTTTTATTCTCTATTCCATGGTATATTGTGAGCAGTAATTTTTTCTGCATGAAATTTAGTACAAAAGATGACATAACAAATTTAAAACAATTCTGGAAAACAATTTTAAGCACCATTGATACTATTATATCGTTTGTCTTACCTGCAACAATGGTAGTAGTTTTTAATACTTTAATAATGTACAATATTCGCAAGCAAAATCGTATCCGAAGAAACTTGATTTTAAGTTCTTCGGCTTCCAATGAGGAAACACAAAGATCTGACAACGAAGCATCACACATTGCAGTCACAAAAATGCTTGTTCTCATTTCAAATTTATTTATATGTTTGAATGTACCTATAGAAGTCGTTACACTTTGTAGCAACTATGGCGTACGTATTAACTTTTATTATTGAAAAATCATTTGCAGCATATTCATACGTTTAAATGCATCTTTTCAAATTTCCTGCCAACTTCTTGTTTTCAATGAGACACTAAAGGTAATTGCTATTATAAAGAATTAACCATTAAATAACATTGTATACAGTAAAAAGCTGCTAATCTCGATTACAATAATCGGATTATCGAGATAATCACAAGGACTGTGTCCACGGATTGACGAAGTAATGGCTACTTGATCACTATATATTGTTGAATAGTAAAGGCCGATCATTCTGGAAACCATCAAAGTTTTTTTAAAGCTTTAAAAACGCATTTTACATATTATAAAAAGCTATTATATTATTTTTCCAAAAATTTAAATTTTTTTTTATTATTCTTAATGTTTAACTCAATATAAACTTTAATTGATATAAAAACTGTATTATTGTTTATAATTCTTTAACGATAAGTTAATAACGATATTAATCATGTTTACAGATCTACAGTACCTATTTTGACTTTATTCTGTTTATCAGCAACTTACTATAGCAAGCCAATTACAGAATAAACTTTCTTCTCTACTGCACATTTGGGAAGAATTTTCGTAAAGAATTGATCTGCATGTTTATGAAACATTCAGATACTAGAAGAAACGAACACATAATGACAAAAATTATGAGGACTAATGTAACTGATGCTATCATGCAATTATAATAAAATAATAATGAAACAGGGTGGTACAATTATATCATATAATAAATATCTTATTTTTTAAATATTTACGATAATGCTCATTAAAAAATGAACGCATTATATATATACGTCTTTGTTTTTCAATTTATACTTTTTTTTGCATTTTTATGTTGTTCTCCCGGAATATGAAAACAGGAAATATTTTTTATTGTTTCTTTTGTTATTCAGAAATCATACATTACACAATTAAAAAAGAAAGTAATTAAAATTGTTTCCAATTAAGAAAATATATATAATTAACAATGTTTAAATAAAAGAATTTAATTAAAATTATCATATTAAAAATTTAATTAACTTGTTTTACCACGCACGATACCGTATATATGATGCACCAGTTCTTAAAACAGCTTAATCGGTCTTCAGTCACAGTGAACAACAGTGTACATTTCTTATTACAATGTACTTCAAAAAATGAGTTGAAATAACTTAATGATTATCTAATAATTAAGTTCTAATAATAATCTAATAATAATTAGTTTCCAATGATAAATCTCATTTTTCATTAAAAATTGCTGCAAACGATTTAAAAAATCATTAATCATCAGTACGCAAAAATGAGTGACGCAAATGTATCTGAAAACTATGAGAATTATAAAGAAGAAATTCGTTTATTCATTGCAACTGACATTGTTGAAGAGATATTATTTTACTACCTACCGATTTTAGTGTGCATTTCTTTGTTGGGAAACAGTCTATCCGTATATATATTTTTCTGCACGAAGCTCTGTTACTCCTCGTCCAGCATCTATTTAGGTGCACTTTCAATAAGCGACATTGGTTTTTTAGTAACGTTATTCGACACTAAATTTGCCAGAATAGTATATCCTATGTGTGAGATGTTACGTTGTTACACTATCCCTATGATCTATATGAATGGTTTGCGAATGTTATTTGCTTTTTTGAGTGTGTGGATTGTAGTGGCCTTTACTGTTCAACGATATGTAGCGATCAAGTGGCCGCTACTTCGTCGCTCCGTGTGCACAGTCAAACGAGCGAAAATTGTGGCGATCGGACTGGCGGGTTTAGCTGTTTCATACTCTATCCCATGGTTTACTATGAATGCAATCTACTGGCTTCATGACGAAAATGAGTTGACAAACTACAACTACTGGTGGTGGATTTTAAATACTATTAATACTATTATAACATTTGTTTTACCTGCAACAGTGATAGCAATTCTTAATGCTCTAATAATGCATAACATCCGCAAGCATAATCGTATCCGAAGAAACTTGATTTTAAGTTCTGCTGCATCGAATAGGAAAACACAAAGTTCGGACGGTGAACATCACACATTAAAGTCACAAAAATGCTTGTTATCATTTCAAGCATATTCATATGTTTAAATACACCTTACCTAATTTTCCGACAATTTATTCTCTTGGATAAGATACAAGAGGTAATTACTTTTTTTTTAAAATCAACCATTAAATTCAGGGTTTCTTTACTTCAAAATCGCATTTTACATATTATGGAAAGCTATTAATTAAGTTTTTCCACAATTAAAATTGTTTTTTTATTATTTCTATTGTTCAACTTAATTTATATAAAAACTATATTATTGTTTATAATTTTTTAACGATAAGTGATAATAATAATAATTATCTTTACAGATCCGTGATGATAAACTTTTATACCCACTTTTTTTCATCAGCAAATTATTATGGTTAACAAATTACGGAATAAACTTTTTTCTTTATTGCGCAATTGGGAAGAACTTTCGTAGAGAATTGTTGCGCATATTTATGAAACATTCGGATAATAGAAGAAACAAAGATTTGGAGATGAAAAATGATGAGAAATAGGGCCATTGATATCACCATGCAAATTATTATAATAAGATAATATAATGATAAAACGATGGTAGGATTATCATATAATATTTAATATCATATGTAATATTTAATTTTTTTTAAACAATGTTTACAAGCAGGACTTATATTAAGTAATGTAATTACTATAAATGTGTTACATGTATATATACATATATATGTTTTTTTCTCTTACAATAATTGTTTATTTTACTTTACCCACTAAACATGAAACATTTATGGAACATTACATTTTTGCAGTAATTCTGCAATTTTGAAACGTCTATAATGAATATTAATGGGATGTTTTATTAACATTTTATAAATAACATCTTATTTGCAACATTCACGAAACATACCGTAAATGTAACATTTTTGCAGTTAATATGCTAACTAGAA